TCCTGAGTCTGCCCCCTGCTCGTGTCGCCTCCTGTCTCACGAGACTCTCCTCTGGCACCACCGCCTTGGTCACCCCTCCCTGCTTCGTCTCCGGAGCATGGCCTCCCGTGTCCTTGTCTCTGGTCTTCCCCGGTCCCTCCCTCCCCTTCCTCCGGGGCCTGGCCCTACCTGCGTCCCCTGTGTCGAGGGACGGCAGCGGGCTACCCCTCACTCCTCCCAGTTTCCTCCGACAGAGGCCCCGCTGCAGACGCTTCACATGGACGTGTGGGGCCCGGCCCGCGTCCGTGGACAGGGTCACGAGCGCTACTTCCTGCTGGTGGTTGACGACTACTCGCGTTACACCACAGTCTTCCCCTTGCGCAGCAAGGGTGATGTCACTGAGGTGTTGATCGACTGGATCCGCGCAGCTCGTCTCCAGCTCAGGCGGAGCTTCGGCTCGGACTTTCCTGTTCTGCGTCTGCACTCTGACAGAGGCGGAGAGTTCTCCTCTGGCCTTCTGCGAGCCTACTGTCGTGCACGAGGCATCCGCCAGACCTTCACGCTTCCGGACTCTCCACAGCAAAATGGGATTGCTGAGCGCCGCATTGGCATGGTCATGGACGTCGCCCGTACGTCCATGATGCATGCGGCTGCCCCCCATTTTCTGTGGCCGTTTGCGGTTCGGTACGCGGCGCATCAGATCAACCTTCAGCCCAGGGTCTCCATGCCGGAGACCTCCCCAGCTTTGCTGTGGACGGGGAAGGTTGGCGATGCGTCTGCGTTCCGTGTCTGGGGATCTCGGGCGTTTGTCCGCGACTTGTCTGCGGACAAGCTGTCCCCTCGTGCTGCTCCTTGCGTCTTCCTGGGTTTCCCCCCTGACGCCCCAGGGTGGCAGTTCTACCACCCCACCTCTCGCCGTGTTCTGTCCTCCCAGGACGTCACGTTCGACGAGTCGGTCCCCTACTACCGCCTCTTCCCCTACCGCACTCCGTCCCTCCCCCCGCCACCGCTCTTCCTTGTACCAGGTCCCCCCCCGGTAGACCCCCTCCCCCCTCAGGGTCCTGCCCCTTCAGGTGTGTCCCAGGTAGACGCTGTTGAGCCTGTCGAGGTCGCTGGTGACTCTGGTGCTGCTGAGGGTGCTGAGCCTGGGGGTGCTGACTCTGGGGGTGCTGAGCGTGTGGGTGCTACGCCTGGGGGTGCTGAGCCTGGGGGTGCTGAGTCTGGGGGTGCTGAGTCTGGGGGTACTACGACTGGGGGTGCTGAGCCTGGGGGTACTACGCCTGGAGGTGCTGAGCCTGGGGGTGCTGCGTCTGGGGGTGCTGAGCCTGGGGGTGCTACGCCTGGTGGTGCTGTGACTGACGGTTCTCCGGGTGCTCCTTCTCGCCGGGAGCCAGTCTCTCCCCAGGAGCTGCGTGAGTGGTTTGCCCGGCGCTGGAGGCGAGCTGCTGGAGCTGCTGGAGCTGGAGGTGCTGCGGGTACTGGAGGTTCTGTTGCTGCTGAGGGAGCTGGTGCCACGGGTCCCGGAGGTGCTCGTACTGGGAGTACTGGAGCTGCTGGACCTGCGGGTACTTCTGGAGCTGGAGTTGCTGCGGGTGTTGGCGCGGAGGCTATTGCTGTCGGTCCTGGAGGCGGTCCTGCTGGGGGTACTACTGGTGCTGCTGGGGGTTCTGGAGCTGGAGCTGCTACTGGCGCTGGTGCTGCCACTGGGGGTGCTGGTGCTGTCCCTCCTGTGTCTGGAGTCGCCGCGCGGCCTCGGCCGTACTTCGTTCCGCTCCTTCAGCAGGTTCTTGGTCTCCCGTCTTCTACTGGTCCTCCTCCTCCTCCCTTAGAGTGTCCACAGCCTGTCCCGTCGCAGTTACAGTTACAGCTGGCCTCCCCACTGCCTGCTCCGTCTCCCTACACTGGTCCTACTGGAGGTCTTGCTGAGCGTCGTGAGCCTGCGTCTCGCCCTGCGTCGCCTGTCCGTGCTGCTCGCACTAGTGGTCGCGGTTCGCGTCAGCGTCCTCCTCCTGTCCCTGGCACGCACTGGATGTCTCTGCGTCCGTCCACTGCTCCTCTGCGTGCCCCTTTGCCTTCTCCTCCTGAGTCTTCTCTTCCTGCTCTTGCCGACCCGGAGTCGGACTCTCTTCGCGCTGCCAGTCCTACTGTCACGCGTCTCCTTGCTACTATTGTCACTGACCCTTCCTTTGAGTCCACTGCTGCGTCTGCTCTAGTTGCTGAGCTCGTCGACTTTGCTGCTCGCTGTCGCCTAGACTACGTCGCCAGTCTTGTTACTGAGTCTGAGTCTGTCTGTCCTCCGTCCGTCGGGGTGAGTGTGCCCTTGGCACGGACGTCCTTGAGGACAGGCAGGAGGAGTTCCAGTGCTTGGCCGCTGCTTCACCTCATCTCGTGTCCGTACTGCTTACCCCTGAGGGAGACCCGGATGCACTTGACATCCCGACTCCGCGCTCTTACGCGGAGGCGATAGAGGGTCCCTACTCCTCTCAGTGGCAGGCAGCTATGGACGCAGAGATGGCTTCCTGGAAGTCCACAGGCACCTACATTGACGCTGTTCCCCCTCCTGGGGCGAACATCGTCAGTGGCATGTGGATTTTCAGGGTGAAGCGACCGCCGGGTTCTCCGCCTGTCTTCAAGGCGCGTTACGTGGCTCGTGGCTTCAGTCAGCGGCAGGGAGTTGACTACTTTCAGACCTTCTCTCCCACCCCGAAGATGACCACTCTTCGGGTACTGCTGCACGTAGCTGCTCACCGTGACTACGAGCTACACTCTCTTGACTTCAGCACTGCTTTCTTGCAAGGCAGCCTGCACGAGGAGATCTGGCTGCGTCGCCCACCTGGCTTCACTGGGTCTTTTCCTCCTGGCACCCAGTGGAGCCTACGGCGGCCAGTCTACGGTCTCCGCCAGGCACCGCGTGAGTGGCACGACACACTGAGGACTACACTTGCGGCTCTTGGGTTTGCTCCCTCTACTGCCGACCCGTCGCTGTTTCTGCGCACCGACACTTCTTTGCCGCCGTTCTACATCCTCGTGTACGTCGACGACTTGGTCTTTGCCACAGCTGACACTGCAGGACTAGCCCACGTGAAGTCCGAGCTGCAGAAGAGACACACGTGCACTGACCTGGGTGAACTGCGCAGCTACCTTGGCTTGCAGATCACTCGGGACAGAGCACGCCGCACCATTACCCTGACTCAGTCACACATGGTGCAGCAGGTCCTTCAGCGCTTCGGCTTCACGTACTCCTCGCCTCAGGCCACTCCTCTGCCTACTCGCCACTCGCTCTCAGCTCTGTCTTCGGATGAGTCCGTAGAGTCGAGTGGCCCGTACCCAGAGCTTGTTGGCTGCCTCATGTACCTGATGACCTGCACACGACCTGACCTTGCATACCCCCTTAGCATTCTTGCACGCTATGTTGCTCCTGGGAGACACAGACCGGAGCACATGGCTGCAGCGAAGAGGGTGTTGCGCTACTTGTGCAGTACGTCGGGCATGGGGCTTGTGCTTGGAGGGCAGAGTCCAGTGGTCCTTACTGGGCACGCAGACGCTTCTTGGGCTGACGACCAGGCTACGCAGCGGTCGTCACAGGGTTACACCTTCAGCCTTGGTTCCGGCTCTGTTTCGTGGCGGGCTACTCGCTCGTCTTCTGTTCTCGGCTCCAGTTGTGAGGCTGAGATCTACGCAGGAGCCATGGCTGCACAGGAGCTTCGCTGGCTCACCTACCTGCTGACTGACCTCGGAGAGTTGCCTCGTTCTCCTCCAGTGCTGTACGTAGACAACAAGGCCATGCTGGCCTTGTGTCGGGAGCAGCGACTGGAGCACAGAACGAAGCACATTGCTCTCCGCTACTTTCTTGCTCGTGAGCTGCAGCAGCGTGGTCAGCTGCGTCTTGCGTACGTGGCCTCTGAGGCCAACACTGCTGATATCTTCACCAAGGCACTTGCGCCTTGTGACCATCAGCGCTTCTGTACTCAGCTGGGCCTTGTGCCTACCTTGCCTCACTTGCTCACCTCTTGACCTTGCTTGTACTGTTACATATATATATACCTGCTCTTGCTTGTCTAGCCTTTTTATATATATGTGTACTCCTGCTTGTGAACTGGCCTTGTGGCCTTGAACTTGTGCTCGGAATGTGTGGTGACTTTGTGATCCACCCTGAGCTTGCTTTGCTTTGCTTTGCTTGACTGGTCTTGTGACCCCTTGTTCTCCCCCACTTTGCCTATGGGGGTGTGTCAGAACATTATAGCTCATGCATATTGTGTAGGCTATAGTGGGGTACTCCATAAGGGGTACAATCCAATTAGGGTTAGTACTTGTACCCAATTCATTCATAGTTCATTCATTCCTCGTTTCTTCTCAGGGAGTCGGCAGGAGGGGCTGTCTCGGTGGATAGGACTCGGAAGACTGTTACAAAACTGGTGGGGTCGGGTTACCAGTGCACGTCGGCGGCATTCTGCTCTTCGCCAGTGGCGTCGCCGACAGATTTCCTCGTCCTGACTTGCCACGTCACCGCTGATGACTCTGACGTGGTTGTTACCGTCCCTATCGACCCTGTAATGGGTACATTCCAAACCAGCTTCATTCGCGATTCGGCAGGTAGCATGTTCTCCGGGAGGTGGCTTCATAGCCCTTGTAAGATTCGATTCAAATATTCTCTACACCTAAACGCTTCCGTTGGCTGGAATCACTTTTTCCGCGTCGCCGCTCTCCTCGACCACTCTTACCGCGGGCACCTCCTCGACGTTAGTTATCGACGCCACTTTCAAGAACGTCCTCGTTACAAGCACGTCTTCGTACAAGACGGGCGGCAACGGGCAGATCTACCTCGGCACGCTCGACACCGTGCCTTTTACCGAAACCGACGGGTGCGTTTCTACCGCGTCTGCCGGCGCGTTTCAGTTCTTAACTGCCGAAACCTACGCGCGCCTAGCGCTATATCCCGGAAGCTCTTTAGACGCTCCGATGGCACTAATGGCTATCTGGGAGGGAGTTTATCCATTGAAGCTTGCAGCAGACGGTGCGGTTCAGACCGATACAGCTGGGTTTATCAATCTCGGCATGGCCGAGTCCGGTAATGATTTCTTCGCTACAGCCGTATGCGTGCAGAAGTTTGTAGCGTCCCCCTCCCCTCCATCGCCCCCACCGCCATCGCCGCCTTCCCCGCCCCCCAGTCCCCCGCCGTCGCCGTCTCCGCCTAAGCCACCTTCCCCGCCCAGGGCGCCCTCCCCCCCGAGACCTCCCCCAAGCCCCCCAAAGCCGCCGTCGCCTCCACCGCCGTCTCCCCCTTCCCCGCCACCATCCCCGCCACCTCTGCCTTCCCCGCCCCCTAGTCCCCCGCCCCCACCGAGTCCACCTCCTAGCCCTCCGCCAAGACCGCCCCCTCGCCCTCCCCCAAACCCGCCCCCGCCACCGCCCCCGCGCCCTCCCCCTAGATCTCCCCCAAGCCCTCCCCCCAAACCTCCCCCGCGCCCGCCCAAAAGCCCCCCTCCTTCCCCACCTCCGCGGCCGCCCCCCAAGCCGCCCAAGCCGCCCAAGAAGACAAGAAGGACCCTGGAAGTGGGCGGGTGGGAGGGAGCGCGGGGAGTGGAGTTGAGCAACAGGCGGAAGCCGCCTCCTCTCCCCGTAGTAATGATGGAGAGGGAGAATGGAAATGCGCTTATGCTTTCGTTACAGTTGCCTGGTAAGTGTACTCATTCTCGTTATGGTAGTGGGTACTTGGTTGTTGCATTTGTACTTCTCGCCTCCCAATTTCCCCATTCCATTTTCCGCTAACCCATCTCGCCCCCCGTGATTTTCTTCCTCGTCGTCTTATTTAGCAGTGCCCTGCGAATGCCTCATTCCAACGAGGTGACTTTTGAGTCGACTCAAAAGTCTTCCGCATCGTCTTATTTAGCAGTACCCTGCATATGCCTCATTCCTCCGGCAATCTCACTGCAATCCCCCCTGCACACCAGCCCCCCAAGTTCATATATGATTGGCTCAAGATGCACGATATGGCAACTTATGAGAAAATCACGCCTCATCCTGATACACACGATGCTCGTTTGACTAACCCAAGGTTGCCTTGTGAAGGGGGCTTTTAAGTGATTCTGGGCATTTCGCAAATTTCGTCAACGTCGCATCTAGCAAAAAAGGGCTCATAAAAAAATTAACTCCCTGTTGACAGTTTGACTTCAGTCTCTTCTGTTCGAATTCGGTTTCTGTGGTTCGTATTGGTTCATAACCACTGCAACTTGCTCGAGGGGCTTGTAATGTGGGTGCAACTGGCTGGTAAAAAAATCACGGGTGCAAACTTTCCATCCTGGGCAAGGCAAATTCGTGCGCAGGGGTTGAGCATCGTGTGTATTGCAATTTCATCTTAACACACTTGCATTTTCATCCTCCCATTCTGCTGTTTTTGTGTGCAGAAAACCTATGATCCAAGGCTGCCTAGGTTGACAAAAAATGTGGTACAGTAATAGCCATTTGCTAAAACCCGTACATATCTGTTCGGTATGTCAAAAGTTGATTCGCCGCTGTAGTACTATCTTGTTCTAAGAACATGTTCGCCTGCAAATTGTTTACGACCATAGATCCCTCTGGAGGTGTATGTTCGTATCCACGGAATCGATGCGCTCAGTATTTTGATTCAAGCTAGCAGATGTTTGCCTCGATGCAGTTAGATGCGACAGAAGAAACAACAAGAATCACTCCAAATCCTCAGATAGAGTCCGTCACCACCAGATCCTGCCAGTTCGTCTAGTGCGTTGCATTGCGTGTAGGCTCGGATCGGGGGGGCATTGCTTGCGTGAGATACACCCTCATTCTCGATAGATTGGCATATGTTAGACTGACCACCACGCTTTGACTGACAGCAACGCACCAAAGGAGGTCTAATCACAATGCATACAAGCACAAATTGTCGCCTCAATCATACCAGCCAGCTGGCCGATCTTGTTGATTGCACGTCTGACAACTTTGACCACCAGGCATATGTCAGAATCCCAGCCACTAACCACTGGGATAAAATGGCTTGTTAAGTAGCGGGTCAGTGCGCCCATACCCCCCCAGGACAACGAGCATGTAACCCTTCCCTATGATCAATCGGGGATCACCAGTGGACCTCTGACACCCCCCCACCCGCATTGGGATGCCCGAAGTGCACACACTGAGATTCGAACTCGAGACTTTTGCTCTGATACTATGTCAGAATCCCAGCCACTAACCACTGGGATAAAATGGCTTGTTAAGTAGCGGGTCAGTGCGCCTATAACCACCCAGGTCAACGAGACTCTAACCATTTTCTACGACCAATCGGGGATCACCAGTGGACCTGTGAGGACACGGTTCGGATGCTGTTAGTGCAGTGTGGACCTAAATCAAAGACAATCAAACAACACGAACTGACAAATTCACATTTGTGAAAGCTGATTGGTTGCCTTGATCACTTCAACAATGAGACGAACCGACCTAAATCACAATGACAGGGCATCTGCAATTTGCAATTTGCTGTTACTGTATCATTTTGCCATTTGCAATGCGCGGACACTCTTTGATTTTGCCACCTCAACCCTGGTTTGTCGCCACCTGCACAATTGCCTTTAAACGGTTAGGGGCACCATCGCGCTAGCTGTTCGCACTGTGCACAGTGCCCGCGATGGTGAGAAGGGTGAGAACGAGGGTGTACCAAACATACACCAAACCAAACAGCAATTCCCGCGTTCACGCTTGCTCGTTTTCCCCCTTTGACCAGACGGTCTCCACCGAGCTAGACCAGAAATATTGTCTGGGGGGGGGGGGGAGGGGAGAGTCTGGAGAGGGGAGGCTAGCCAGCTGTGAATGATCGGGCAGAGGGGGGAGGTAGGGATTTGCCAAACTCCATGGTTCGGCAGTGAGATGCTCCTTCCTTGCCACGTCTGTCTGCTACTCGTTGGAGAAGATATGTACACCTGAGGCCACTCGTGGCGGGAAATGGGTTCTGTCAGGTATGGTAAGCCTCTCGGCTCGAATTCCATGTGGGTTCTGATTTTTGTCACCAATTTACTGATGGTGTTATTCTTTCCTGCCCAATTCCAATTTTGTTGATCTGGTGTTGTTGTCGTGTGGTGATCTGAAGCTGAATAGTGGGCAAATTTCATAGCGGTGATCCGATATTTCCGATATTTTTTCCTAGATTTTTGAAAGCAAACAGTTATCTTATACAAATCAGTTGCGGCAGCATTCCAAACCAAATCATTTTTGTCTGACTCCAAAGCGGTCGGCTCGTCACATCTGGTCTGCCGAACGTGCCTGGTTGCTGTATCTTCGTTGCGGAATCGAAGCTAGCTGGCCCCCACCACCAAACCCACGCGCCTCGCGCGACCGTATCCCCACTTGATCCGAACCAAACCTCATCCGCGTTTTCGTCGGCTCGGCACGGCGAACAAAGGGCTTGCAGCGCAGCTGCCTGAACTGAAGACGGGAAGGGAAGGTGCTTTACGGAGCGCAAAGGTGGAAATGCCAACCGTGTGTGCAGTGCACTGGCCGAGGGGAGCCGCCACAAAACATGGGTACAGTTCCCATTTCTCCCTCCATCTCTAGCTGAAAGAGCCCATTCGTCCGCCTCCCGCCGCTGCATTTATGGTGCTTTATGAACTTCAAAATAGACAACTTCCTATGAGGGAAGTCAAGCGTTTGCAAAGCTACGCCTTGCTCCTCTGTCGCCGGCTCCTGTGATCGCCTCCTCTTGCAAGCTAGGCGTTGCGCTCCAGAACTACTGGGTGGGTAGTATTAAGTAGACCGTACTCGCTGAGACTTGATACTTGCTAGGGAAAAACAAAAACAAAAATCTCTCTGTAGCAGCGTCCGCCTGTAGTTCCGCCACTCAATTTTCTCAATTTTCTCGAATTTCTCTCCGCAGCAGCATCCGCCTGCCGCGGCGGCGGTAGCGATGTCGAAGCATCATTACCGCGCCATCCGCAGCTTCCTGCCCACGGCAACGGCGGTCGGAAAGCGTCTCTTGCGCCAGACCTCCCAGGAGATCGTCCTGGGTGGCAGCATCGGCATTCCTCTGCCAGAAACCTCCTCGCTCGTGCCACGTATTAATACTATAACGCAGTCATCTCTCGGCGCGCTTCACCCCAACGGCCCCGCGATTTCCGCCACGTCGTCCGCCGTGTCCGCATCATCCGGCGCGCCTCTCGCAGCATTGTCCTCAGCGGAATCAAATTCCCGGAGCAACTACGATTACTCATGCTCCCCGTCTCTTCCCGTCTCATCTTACTCTCCTACCCGTGCCGCCGCCAATGGAACCACCATCGGCGATCAACCCCGATCCTCCGAGCCGCCCATGCCTGCCGTCCTTCCTGTCTTCGGCGTTGCTCGCCGATATTTCTCAGGCCCCTCACCCCTCTCCAAAGGAATTCCCGGCTCCTGGTCCAATTCTGGACCCGCATTTCCAGTAAAATGCGCATTTCCCGCCGCTTTTCCCGCGGCTGTTTCCGCCGCGGACGCCGCCCCGCAACGCGGGGTGCTGCTCCGTAGTGGTTCGAGCTCTGCCACGTGCGGCGATTTGAATGGCGGGTTTCTGCAGCATGATTGGATGCAACGAGCCGCGTGGTTGGCCACAGCGGGGGATGCGGACAATGGCGCTGATGATGCAGCTGCTGCTGACGTGGCGGAACGTGACTACAGCGGGCAGAGGGACGATGAGATTGGCGACGGGGAGAAATGCACGGCGACTGCCGACGGCGACAGCGCTCTTGACGTGCCGAATCGAACGGTCGAAGTCGATCAGACTGCACAGGGTAAAACCGCAGATCGTCGGAATGACGTGAGAGTAGCCAGCTCAGCAACGCGTTTCCTTCCAAAACCCCCAACGACGTCAGGGACTAATCCCGAATTCGTTTTTCGCGGGGATGAGGACCCCGCGTACTGGGTTGACAGCACGCAGACGTACCACAGCGCCGGATGGATCGGCAGCAACCAACATCACCACCACGAGCCGCGTCACGATCGTTTAGCCTCTGCTTGTGCTCCCGACGACATGTGTCCGAAATCATCGCACACGAGTCGTTCGTACTCGCATGATTATCAGACCAATGCCGCTGGGTGGTTGGATGACAGAGATTGCATGGCGGCAGAATCATGGGTGAACGACAGCCGTAGATCGCTGGACGAGGTGTGGATGGACAGCGCGCGATCTCGCATCCGCGACGCGGCGTTGCAGCTGGTGGAGGCTCAGCAAGCGGCGCTGGAGCACAGCAGAGTAGCGTCGGCCATGGAAGCCACCATGCTGGAGAGGCAGAAGAGCCTGGGGAGGCAGACGAGCCTGGGGAGGAGCCCTGGGGGAAGCGGGAAAGGCGAGAAAGTGAGAAAGAGTGTGCTCTCCTGGTTGCCTCCAACCAATGACGTGGGTGTGAGCCGGAGCACCCGAAGCAGCCCGATGCGCAGGCTTGGTATGGGAGGTTGGGGAGGGCTAGCAGCTTGTGACAATGTTGGGGCTGCTCTTAACGGGGATGGGCATGAAGTTGATATGGTGGCTGGAAATGTTCATGTTGATGGTTTGATAGTGCAGGCTGGAGGAAGCTCACGGTTGGGAAGGGTTGGGATGATGCTCCGTTTAGGGAGTTCCAAAAGAGTAGTGTCAACAAGTTGATGGCTAAATTCATTAGTACCTGGTACCTATTATACTTCACCCTTATTGCTTATTGATTGTTTGAAATATCCGTGAAGTACACTATTATGCGTGTGACTATTTCTCGGATGGGTTTGCAGAATATTAAGTGAATAATTAGACTCAATCTAGCTAAATCACACTAGTGCCCAGCTTGAGATGTGAGTCAACAGCACGACCTAGAAAGTTGACGAATGTATGTAAGCCACACAGGTAAAATTGGTGTACAGCTGTAGTCTCTGATGCACCAGAACTCTTGTTCTTCCACTACCTCGGAGGCACCGAGGAAGAGTAGCAACAGACGAGCCTTGAAGCTCTGGAGAGTTAGCACTAGTAGTCTAGAAAGTGTGTTTGTTATGAGGGAACCAGAGGGGTAGCTCGTCTGACGCTGCTGGGATTGTCAGTCCTTAACGACACGGCGTCAAACGTTCGCATTGCTTGCTAAGCGACTCGCCGATTCTATTTAAAAAGGCAATGGCGCAAGCGGTGTCACTCGCGTCGGGTTTGTCGCTTGTTTCAGCTCCTCGTGTTTCCCTCCAGAGCTCCGTTGATTTGCGATCGGGTAAGACATTTCAGAACTGGTCCGTAAGGAAAGCATTTCGAGCCGAAGGTTCCTAAGTAATTGAGTAGACAATCGTCATTTTCAATATCCTTGATAATAGCGTCAAGCATACCTATCTCTTGAAACACGGTAGGATGGAATGATTCGCTTTTATAATATATTTGCTCGATCGTCAGCGTGGTCTCGGTTCCTGACAGCCAATATCACTATGTCCTGAGAGTCAATGCACGTAGCATTACTTCGTAGCATCGAAGCCTCGGAGCCCCACGCTAGTTTCAGAGTGCGAACCTTGTCCCGAGTCGACGTGACTGCACTATCCTGTTAGTTCCGTATACTGAAATCTATGATCGATGAAGCTGTTCGTTTGTTTGGCGCTTCAAGGGCCTGTGCTAGCCGTTCGATGCGTGTCATCTGTCTCCAGCTTAAACGCTGCCTTTCACCCTATCGGAAACAATGTATCCATTGCACTCCCGAAGCATTGTATGTCCTATCTGTACCCGCTGTGAGCCATTCGCTCTCCCGCTCTGCTTCTCCCCATCCGCTCGTCCTACTCTTTGACGGTGAAAACTTTCCCGCCCTTCCCTCCTATTTGGTGACCTGCATTCTGCCTTGGTGCTCTGGCAGCGAGGTGACTTTTTGAGTCGACTCAGAAGGTGCTCTCGCAGCTCGCTCCGCTCGTGTGCCTTCTGTCACCACCACCGCCTCCACAGCGATGCTCAGGTGCGATCTCGTCCAACACCGCCGTCAGTCACACCGCCGTCAGTCACACCGCCGTCAGTCACACCGCCGTCAGTCGCACCGCGTCAGTCACACCGCGTCAGTCACACCGCCGTCAGTCACACCGCCGTCAGTCACACCGCGTCAGTCACACCGCGTCAGTCACACCGCCGTCAGTCACACCGCCGTCAGTCACACCGCGTCAGTCACACCGCGTCAGTCATACCGCCGACAGTCACACCGCGTCAGTCACACCGCCGTCAGTCACACCGCGTCAGTCACACCGCGTCAGTCACACAGCGTCAGTCACACCGCCGTCAGTCACACCGCGTCAGTCACACCGCGTCAGTCACACCGCCGTCAGTCACACCGCCGTCAGTCACACCGCCGTCAGTCACACCGCGTCAGTCACACTGCGTCAGTCACACCGCATCAGTTCAGTCACACCGCCGTCAGTCACACCGCCGTCAGTCACACCGCGTCAGTCACACCGCATCAGACACACCACCGACAGTCACACCGCGTCAGTCACACCGCCGTCAGTCACACCGTGTTTGTCACACCGCGTCAGACACACCGCGTCAGTCACACCGCCGTCAGTCACACCGCGTCAATCACACCGCGTCAGTCACATCGCCGTCAGTCACACCGCCGTCAGTCACACCGCGTCAGTCACACCGCGTCAGTCACACCACCGACAGTCACACCGCGTCAGTCACACCGCGTTAGTCACACCGTCGTCAGTCACACCGCGTCAGTCACACCGCGTCAGTCACACCGTCGTCAGTCACACCGCGTCAGTCACACCGCATCAGTCACACCGCGTCAGTCACACCACATCAGTCACACCGCCGTTAGTCACACCGCGTTAGTCACACTCGCAACCGTCAACTGTCACTCACCTCCTTCCGCCTCCACAGCTGTTGACGCCCCCAGCGTCATTCGATGCTAAGGATCGTTTTTTGCTCGAATAATGTTTTTGCTTCCTCGCGGCATTCCGCAGACTCGCTTGCACCTATGTCTTTTTTCAACCAGCTCAGAAGGCGAGGGGGTAAAACGGTTTTACTCCTCCCGACCCTCCCGTTCCCGGCTCCCGTCCCATTCCTTCCTTTCTCTACCATCCCAGAGCCCTCCTCCTCGTGCGTCCATATCTCCCGCACACACTGACCCATCTCCATCCATGTCCGCAGCGTGCCTTCCGTACTGGTTTTTGATGTTGAATGCCCCTGGTCTATACCCTCCGCCTCTCTTCTTGGTAATCACCGCATTCAGTGCCTTTACTGAGGCTTCGCATTTTTCCACTCCTCCCTCCCCTCGTGCCCTCGCCCCCTCCCCCGGAATTCTCCTTCCCGCCAACTATTGGCAGCGGCGCGCAGTGACGTGTCAAGCCGTGGTCGTGGCTGCCGCTGACGGACGGCGCACCTGCCCCGCCCCGCCTGCGATTCTTGAGGCGCCTAAAAAACCCTTCCCGCCAGCCAGCTATTGGCAGCGGCGCGCAGTGGTGTGCGAAGCCGTGGTCGTGGCTGCCGCTGACGGCGCACCTACCCTGCCTGTGTGTGAGTTGCCTGCGATGCTTCTGAAAAGCAAGGCTTCTTTCGTCTTTCCTTTCGTCTCTTCGTCTTCCAAGTTCCACCCCGCTTTTGTTACAGCATTTCGATTCCTCCATCACGTATCAACTCGACTCAAAGCGCGCCTCGATCCGTTGTCCATGCGATACCAATCCCGTGGCCCTCTCCGTGTGAGCAGTCGGCAAGGGCAACACCGTGCGGGTGGATAAGAAAGAAAAGTGCCCTTTGAGTTAGCTCAAGTGCTTTCTGTGCCCTGTCCATGTGATACCAATCCCGTGCCCCTCTCCGTGTGAGCAGTCGGCAAAGGCAACACCGTGCGGGTGGATAAGAAGGAAAAGTGCCCTTTGAGTTAGCTCAAGTGCTTTCTGTACCCTGTCCATGCGATACCAATCCCGTGGCCCTCTCCGTGTGAGCAGTCGGCAAGGGCAACACTGCGCGGGTGGATAAGGAGAAGAAGTAACTCAACAGCACGGTGTGTACTCCTTACCTCCACTCAACAGCGCGGAGGTAAGGGGTTGCTCAGAGGAGTGGGTGGGGGTAGGGGGCCGTTGGGGGTCAGAGGGCATTGGGGTAAGAGAGAATGGGGGTGAGAGGGCATTGGGGTAAGAGAGAATGGGGGGTGAGAGGGCATTGGGGTAAGAGAGAATGGGGGCTGAGAGGGCATTGGGGATATGAGAGCATTGCCACTCCTCCCCCTCCTCCCGACCTCCTCTCTTCACTCCCCACCCACCCTCCACATTCTGCGCCCCCCTTTGCCGTCTTCCTCTATCCGCCCTTCGTCTTTGTCCTCGTCCCTCCATCTCTCTTTATCTGCACTCCTCTCTCCTTGCCCTCCTCTTCCCCACCCCACCCCCCACCCCCCCGCTCCCTCCGTCTTTTCATCGCCATTCGTGTGTCAGTTCAAGACAATGAAACGTCCGTTCATCTTTATGCGCAGTCCTTCTCCACCCCCCCTCTTTCCGTCCTCCCCCTCCCCCTTCCCCTCTTCTCTCTCGCCGCTCCTTACCACGTTCGCACATTTTTCTGTAGAGTGTCGCAGAACAGCCATCGTTTTCCACTCCTGTAGCTAAGGCCGTGAATAATCCACCTTTCTTAACTAGCAATTTCCCCTCCTCTTTCCATGTGTTTCCCCCCTCTCCCCTGCGTTTCCCCCTCTCCCTTTCGTTTCCCCCCATCTTCCATGCGTTTCCCCCTCTCTTCCATTCATTTCCCTTCCTCCTCCCTACGTTTTCTCCCTCTCCCCTTCGTTTCCCCCTCTCTTCCATGCGTTCCCCCCTCTCCCCTGCGTTTCCCCTTTTCTCCCCTATGTTTCCCCCTTTCTCCCCTGTGTTTCCCCCTTTCTCCCCTGTGTTTCCCCCTTTCTCCCCTGCGTTTCCCCCTGCGGTTCCCCCCTGACCCCTGCCTTTCCCCCTCTCCCCCCTGCGTTCCCCCCTTCTCCCTTGTGTTTCCCCCCTCCCCTGCGTTTCTCCCCTCTTCCCTGCGTTTCCCCCCTCTTCCCTGCGTCCCCCCCCCTCTTCCCTGCGCTTCCCCCCGTCTGCATTTCCACCCCACGGTTTCCCCCTCTTCCCTGCGTTTCCCCTCCTCTTCCTTGCGTTCCCCCCCACTTCCCTGCGTTTTCCTCACTCTTCCATGCGTGCCCCCCCTCTCTTCCCTGCGTTTTCCCCCCTCCTTTCCCCGCTCTCCCTCTCCCCCTTTCCCCATTCCTCCACCACGCCTCCTTGCACACTTCCGCTGCGCCCACTCCTCCCTCCCCCACTTCCCCCACGCCCACTCCCCTGCTCCCGCTCCCCCCTCTCCGGCTCTCCGATCTCCCGCTTCCCCCTCTCCCACTCTCCCCTCCCCCACTCCCCTCCTTCACACTCCCCTCTCGCGAATTCCCACCTCGCGCACGCCCCCCGCCAGTTCAAGGCAGTGGACCATCCGCCCTTCTTCACCAGTCTGGACTACATCTACCAGGCCAGAGGCGAGGTGAGGCTCGGAAGGGTTATTACGGGTTATGTGGGATGCAATGAGGTTGGTACTGGTTGCCACCATCCGCCCTTCTTCACCGGTCTGGACTACATTTACCAGGCGAGAGGCGAGGTGAGACTCGGAAGGGTTACTTACCACGCACTGAGAAGCAAGGCGGGCACTGGGGAGAGAGGGGGGCAAATGGATGGGAGGCGAAGGGGCGCACTGGGGGATGAAGGGGCGCACTGGGGGATGAAGGGGCGCACTGGGGGATGAAGGGGCGCACTGAGGGATGAAGGGGCGCACTGAGGGATGAAGGGGCGCACTGGAGGGTGAGGGGGCGCACAGGGGGGTGAGGGGGCGCACTGGGGGATGAGGGGGCGCACAGGGGGATGAGGGGGCGCACAGGGGGATGAGGGGGCGCACAGGGGGATGAGGGGGCGCACAGGGGGATGAGGGGGCGCACTGGGGGGTAAGGGGGCGCACAGGGGGGTGAAGGGGCGCACTGGGGGATGAGGGGGCGCACTGGGGGATGAGGGGGCGCACAGGGGGGTTATGGGGCGCACTGGGGGGTGAGGGGGCACACTGGGGGGTGAGGGGGCGCACTGGGGGGTGAGGGGGCGCACAGGGGGATGAGGGGGCGCACAGGGGGATGAGGGGGCGCACAGGGGGATGAGGGGGCGCACAGGGGGATGAGGGGGCGCACAGGGGGATGAGGGGGCGCACAGGGAGATGAGGGGGCGCACAGGGGGATGAGGGGGCGCACAGGGGGATGAGGGGGCGCACAGGGGGATGAGGGGGCGCACTGGGGGGTGAGGGGGCGCACAGGGGGATGAGGGGGCGCACAGGGGGATGAGGGGGCGCACTGGGGGATGAAGGGGAGCACTGGGGGGTGAGGGGGCGCACAGGGGGGTGAGGGGGCGCACTGGGGGATGAGGGGGAGGAATGGGGGATGAGGGGGCGCACAGGGGGATGAAGGAGAGCACTGGGGGGTGAGGGGGCGCACAGGGGGGTGAGGGGGCGCACTGGGGGATGAGGGGGCGCACTGGGGGATGAGGGGGCGCACTGGGATGAGGGGGCGCACTGGGGGATGAGGGGGCGCACAGGGGGGTTAGGGGGCGCACAGGGGGGTGAGGGGGCGCACTGGGGGGTGAGGGGGCGCACTGGGGGGTGACGGGGCGCACTGGGGGATGAGGGGGCGCACTGGGGGATGAGGGGGCGCACTGGGGGATGAGGGGGCGCACTGGGGGATGAGGGGGCGCACTGGGGGATGAGGGGGCGCACTGGGGGATGAGGGGGCGCACTGGGGGATGAGGGGGCGCACAGGGGGATGAGGGGGCGCACAGGGGGATGAGGGGGCGCACAGGGGGATGAGGGGGCGCACAGGGGAATGAGGGGGCGCACAGGGGGATGAGGGGGCGCACTGGGGGGTGAGGGGGCGCACAGGGGGATGAGGGGGCGCACAGGGGGATGAGGGGGCGCACTGGGGGATGAAGGGGAGCACTGGGGGGTGAGGGGGTGCACAGGGGGGTGAGGGGGCGCACTGGGGGATGAGGGGGCGCACTGGGGGATGAGGGGGCGCACAGGGGGATGAAGGGGAGCACTGGGGGGTGAGGGGGCGCACAGGGGGGTGAGGGGGCGCACTGGGGGATAGGGGGCGCACTGGGGGATGAGGGGGCGCACTGGGGGATGAGGGGGCGCACAGGGGGGTTAGGGGGCGCACAGGGGGGTGAGGGGGCGCACTGGGGGGTGAGGGGGCGCACTGGGGGATGAGGGGGCGCACTGGGGGATGAGGGGGCGCACTGGGGGATGAGGGGGCGCACTGGGGGATGAGGGGGCGCACTGGGGGATGAGGGGGCGCACTGGGGGATGAGGGGGCGCACTGGGGGATGAGGGGGCGCACTGGGGGATGAGGGGGCGCACAGGGGGATGAGGGGGCGCACAGGGGGATGAGGGGGCGCACTGGGGGATGAGGGGGCGCACTGGGGGATGAGGGGGCGCACAGGTTGCTGTGTTGTGGGAGGTATCGTTAATCAGGCTCTGCCTACCTGCCCAACTGTCGTGGGAGTTGAGGCGGGCATGGGTCAGTGGTGGTAAGTATTATTGTGAGTGCAATTAAGGGAATTGGTAGGGGGGGTTGTTGGGGGGGAAAGGGGATTTGTCCTAGGCAACCCCTAGAGCTTCTGTTATGGGCCCAAGTTGGGACACGCTTGATGTGATGGGCCTGGGGTGGGTTTTTTTTGGGACGGGCTGATCCCCCCCCCGTTCAGGTTCTAGTGACTGAACTTACGTTCTCTTCCCCCTTCTGTCCTGTTCGTGTCCCTCGTGCAAATCTTGAACCTCAGAAACTTGTGTTGTGTGGTAAACAGTATTCTTTGCTGTATCGGAATGTTTTTGACGCCTAAAGAGACGTTCTCTTCCCCCTTCTATCCTGCCTGTCTCCCCGCTTTCAGATCTTGGACCTCAAGGAATTTGATTTTTGAGGCGTCGAAGAATTTTTCTCCCTTCTATCGTGCCCCTCTCCCCTCGTGCAGATTTTGGACCTCAAGGAATTTGGCAGCAACCAGTATGCACCGGTAAGCGTATGCCTTTCTGCAGTATTATTTTTATCTAAGAGTGGAAACAACGCATTTTATGCCCAACTCTATATACGTCTTGCACGCATGCAGGCATCCCTCCCAGTTCGAGTTAGTCCTAGGCTTGAAGGCTCAGCGCTTGCATAGAACCATTGGAACACAGACTTGCTATTTAATCGACTCAGAAGCCGCTTGCATAAAGTAATTGGAATTATACCATGTTCGCCAGTATGCTTCCTTCTCATCATTTTTTCTTTCCGTTGCTCTTTCAGCTTTCTTGGGCTGGAGTGCCCACGCCCCCTGCTTGGCTTCCCACCAGCATACTCATCAAGGTATAAATGAATCATGTGCCATGCATGGGTGGTATGTTCTATGTGCCATGCAATGTTGGTATGCTCTATGCCCCATGAACGGGCGCGCTGTTTGCTAGGGTGTGAGCTGCGCATGGGCTGCTTCTTTATTCGAATCAAGATTTTTTTTTTTGCCATGCATGGTTGGTGTTTGTCACGCAAGGGTGGTTGTTCCATGAACGGGGTGCACTACATTTTCTAGGGCGTGAGCTGCGCATGGGCTGTGCTATTTGTCATACAGCTGTGTGATATGCGCCATGCTGTGGTGTGGTGTGATTGTAATGATGGATGGTGTAAAGTATATATTGTTGCCTTCCTTCGTGCCAGCGAATATCCAGCAGGTGTCTTGGCCCATGCGCCGCTCATGTTATTTTATGCGATGCGTTTGTATTGTATGGTACATCTGATGCACGGTATGGGGCCGGTGGACATCCATACTTTTAGGCTGTATTAGGTGCATCTGTGTGGGTTATGTACAAGCAGGTCTTCTTTGTTGGGCTGAGAAAGCCCTTAGGATCGTTTCAATGACTAAGGCTCAGGATGATGATGTATTAGCGAAAGCGTCTTAATGAGACTGGTTAAACCACCACGCACTGGTATGGGAGAACAAGATAAGTTATATATTCTAAAATAGAGATACAGGGCTTTTATATGATTTCAGGGAATATTAAAGGTCTCACTAACTGCAATTGTAACTGCTGATGCGGTTCGATACAACGACGACTCGGGTGATTGCCCAATAGCGAGTCAGTTATTTGTCCTTGCTGTCGTGCTGTTTTTGTCGAGTCAAAGGTCGTTGACCTTTGACCTTCGCTTCAACCTGCTGTTATCGCTTTAGTCAACCGCTTAGCTTTAGGTTGGTTGACTCAGTGTTGCGCTGTGGATCTGCTTCGTTTTTGTTTTAGGGTACATTCCGCTGTGGACACTGTCCCAATCGATGTGTCCCAATCGAGTGTACCGCTCCGAACCGAACTAAACCAGAGACGCAAAAATTTCGAAACGAGGGTGCAATTTGGTGTAATACGATGCAGTGCGGTAGAAACGATTGGGACACTTTCGATTGGGACATGTCCAGCGCGGAATGTACCCTTAGTGTTCGACACATCAGTGTCAGAATCCCAACCACTAGACCATTGGGATAAAATGGCTTCTTTGTGTAGCGGGTGAGTGCGCCCATAACCCCCCAAATCAACGTGTCTGTAACCCTCCCCTAGGATCAATCGGAGATCACCAGTGGACCTCTGACACCCCCACGCACTGGGATGCCCGGAGTGCACACACTGGGATTCGAACCCGAGACCTTCGCTCTAATACCAGGTCAGAATCCCAATCACTAGACCATTGGGATAAAATGGCATGTTTGTGTAGCAGGTCCGTGCGCCCATAAATCGGGAATCTCACGGTGCAGCTCTACTGACACCCCCCCACACTGGGAGGTCTAGGACTGAGCACAGCGGCAACGGCCTGCATGTGCATACACCGAGATTTGAACCCGAAACTGCTCTGATACCAAGTCAGAATCCCAACCACTAGACCATTGGGATAAAATGGCTTGTTAAGTAGCGGGTCAGTGCGCTTATAACCCCCCAGGACAATGAGCCTGTAACCATCCCCTAGGATCAATCGGGGATCACCAGTGGACCTCTGACAATCATGTTAGAATTTGAAGTGATTGAGTAGGATCGTATACTTAGGATGGTAGCTTCCTGTTGTAGCGGAAGTCTTTGTATGAGTTAAAGCCAGTGTAGGAGGCTTTGTCTGGACTAATATAAGCCCATGTAGTGATATGTTTCAGGATCTATGTCTCTGAAATCAGATATATTATAAAGTGACAAGCATACAGAATATATAGCTAGAGTAAAGTACCTATTCGCCTATTGTACTATGCTATTCACGCTATTCGTGTTCTGAAATGGTACGTGACTATTTGCGAGGCCTATAGCTACTTGCTGACGTCATCCTAGGGCGCGTAGCGCTTTGCTGACGTCAGCCTATCGGTACTTTACTGTTACGTGCGAAGTCTCGCACTCTACTAACTGTACTACACGAATTCCTTGAAGTGGTTAAGTCTCGATATTATCTCAACACTCCCCTTCACTTCTAGGAGTTCGGTGTAGTTACCCAGTTGCCTCAGAAACACCGCTGAGCTGGTTGCAGTGGTGAAATTTCTGTCGTGTCAGTTTCTTGGTAAGCGAGTCAGCTGCCATGTCACCGGTGGGACAGTAGACAAGGCGCATTCTCCCCTTGTCGATCGCATCCTTGACGAAGAAGTAACGCCGTGAGATATGTTTTGTGCGATTGACGAAGCCAAGCTTGTTGGCGATGGTAATTGCACTCTGGTTGTCGCACTGCAGCGTGAACTGATTCGGCGTGACGAAATTTTCTTCGTCGAGCAGTTCCTGTAAGTATAATCCTTCTCGGGTTGCAGCACATGCGGCAATGAACTCTGCCTCAGCAGAGGAAAGTGACACGAGTTCCTGTTTCGACGAGTTCCACGAGATCGGGCCAACTGGCTCGAGACGGAAGACGTAGCCGGTTCGTGACCGACGATATGACGTGTCACCGGCGTGGTCTGCGTCGACATATCCGTTGAGGTACATTTTGTCGGTTGGTTTTCCTGTGTTGAAGACCAGCCCAACTGTTGGTGTTGCGACGAAGTAATGTAGAGCACGCTGAAGATCGAGGTGGTGTTCTTCTTTTGGGCAGCGTAGAAATTGTGCGAGATAGCTTGCGACATATGCAAGGTCGGGACGGCATGTGACTGCTGCGAAGAGAAGACACCCGAGTTGCTGCTGGTAAAATTGTAGGCCAGCTACTGAAAGTTTGGTGTTGTTTAGGACGTCCCCGGTGGGTGTGGATCGATAGGGTGTAGCGACGTAATCTGTAGGAATTTTGAAGCGCTTAGCGAGTGACTCAGCATACTTTGATGCTGTGAGATGGATGGCGGAGGAAGTTCGCGAAACGTTTAACCCAAGAAATTGGGTCACTGGTTAAATCGAGAGATTTCTTCAAATCCGCTGCGATGCGATCACCCAAGGAAGCTGACGAGCTGACGTAGAGAATGTCGTCCACGTATGCCACGAGCAACGCATAACTCCCCTTGTCGTCTAGCCGATACATCTCGGGATCATGTGGCAGTTGTCTGAAGCCGACTTCTGTCAGTTTTCTGTTCAAATGCTGCTGCCACAGTCGCGGTGCTTGTTTGATACCGTACAGTGATTTCTTGAGCTTGCAGACACTTGGCGAGTTTGTCGGATAGGTGTGCGGAAATTCGACGTAGATTTCGGCATCGACGTCGGCGTACAGAAACACATTGGAAACATCAATTTGTCGAAGTGGAAGATTCTTCGCAGCTGCTTCGCAGATGACGAGACGAACACTTGTATATCGACTGACCGGGGCGAAAGTTAACGTGTAGTCAATCCCAGGAGTTGGTCAAAACCGCGAACAACCCACCTTGCCTTAAATTTCTCGTGAGAACCATCAGCCTTCGTTTTCAGCCTGAAAACCCACTTTCCGGTAAGAACATTTTTGTTTACGGCTTTTTCGATGGGTATGAGCTCCCAAGTCTCCCGTTTTTCCAGGGCAGCCAATTCACGATCCATAGCTTCACGCCATTTTTTGCGATGTGGCCCTGAAAGAGCCTGTCGGGCATTTTTCGGTTCCGTGACCTCTGTAGAGTTGTGCTGTACAGCTGCTGCTAGTCCCAGTATCTGAAGCCCAGTCTGATAATTAGGACTGTCATCGGTCCGACCTGCGAAATTGACAGGTTCACTCTGTTCACCACTTGCCCCCCCAATTTCGTCAGGATCGACGCGGATGCTGCTGTCAGTTACAACTGGCATGGGACGTCGTTGGTCGTCCACGAAGTATGATGAACATCGTGAACGTCCTCCGGATGAGCATCGACGAGAGGAATGAATTCCGGAAATCCGGAAGAAGTGGTTGGGATAGGTGGATCGGGAGCAGCGTCACGTGCACCGTCGAGGTCAAGTTCTTCGCTTGCAGTGAGTTCGGCGTCGGTGCTAGCGAATGAGCGAACACCGTGGAAAAGAGTAGCAGGGTCACGCTGCGTGGCGAGATATTGTTCGAAGACAGGAAGGGTCAGATTTTCGTAGAAAATACAGTCACGCGCATGAACCAGAAGGCGACTGC